GCAATAAAGTCTGGGGGTACTGTGTAGGGAATGGGGTCCCCGGATCCCCTGGGCGCAGGGCTTGCCTCAGCCGCTGCAGCGCCAGTGCGACCCCGGCCGGGGAGGGGACAGCAGACCCCGTCCCCGCTGTGTCTCCGGGGACCCCCCTGACCCCCGGGCCTCTGGCCTGCGCCCCAGCTCTTAGATGCATAGTAAATAGCTCTTTAAATGCACCCCAATCCCTCGAATCTTTCCGCCGAGAAGTAAAAACGAGGAGGTGGGGAAGGCGGTGTGGGCCCCTGGGCGGTCCGACTTCTGCGGGACTGTGGGCATCACTGCTGGGCGCAAGCTTAGCGGAGTGAGAGAACTTTGAGGGGAACAGCTTCGGAGGGGTGGGTGGGTGGCAGACGCCTTCTTGGGCTCTCGGGGAGCTTTTAAACTTTTTTTCTGGGGTTCATGAGTCCAGGGTCACCAGTGCCTTTGCCCTGTCGCAGATTTTCTTCAAAATTTGGTTTGCATTATCGGAGTATTTCCATCTCTTTCGCTTGTTATGAGGAATGCAACTGGAATTCATGAATCAGAAATGTACTTAATTACGATTTGAAAGGTCAATCTCTCTTTTCTTTTTTAAAGATATATTTATGTAGGCACACAAGAGCTGGGGTGCAGGCTAGAGGCAGGGGGGTGAGAGGGCTCCCCAGAGACAGAGTCGGGGGCAGAACAGGCAGATGGACAAAGTCCACTGCTGAGGGGCAGCGCGCCCTGGGGGGGGTCCCTCTCTGGCCCGGGTGGACTCAGGCCTCGGTGGCTGCGGACAGCTTCACAGTGCTGTGCTTTATCTTCTTGCACCTCCCGGGAGGGCCCTGAAAAGTCCAATTTTTCTTAACTGCAGCAGTGACCTATGTCTAGTTTTTTATTGTCCCAGAAGCAATGCATGGCTTTATGTCAAAATCACGCAGGTCACCAGAAACAAAAAACAACTGTGATTCTCCAGGGTCAGAAGGCAGCTAAATTCAGAGTTAACATTCTGTAAGAGTCAGTTTTCCTCTGGAAGTAAAAACCAAATAGCCAAACTGTTACTGTTGTCCAGACCCCAGGAGAGCACAGAGTCGGCCTAGGCTGCGCCTTGGGGGTGCTGCAGGCGTCTACGGCGACGTCACAGCAGCAGCGGGCGGTCACGTCGCGGGCTCTGAAGTCAGAAGCCCTCAACCTGAATGGCAGGATTGTTAGGTACAGCCTGGACGCCTTCCCACATTTCTCAACGGCCCTAGCCTTGTTTCCACTCCTCTAAGTGAAGAAACTGCAGGCGGGCGAGGCCAGCGGGAAGCCAGCCAGGCCCAGGCGGATCCACTGAGACCCACTGCTGAGGGCAGCGGGGCGACAGGGGCGCCCGGGGCCCCCCGGGGGGGCTGCAGACAGCGCCATGGCTGTGCTTTACCCCTGTGTCCCCAGGGAGGGCCCAGTAAATACCTTCTCGGCCACTTCTTATCGGTAATTGTATTTCAAGCATTTTTAATTTAATGTTTTTATTTGAATATTTAAAAAGTTCATCTCAGAATCCATCGCTGTAGTGAATTTAATATTATCTTTAGTTTCATCTTATTGGGTTATCTCTTCCTTTGTCATCACTGACTCTCTCCGTGTGAATGTTTATAGTTTTATTTTTCAAAGAATTGTACCTAGTCTTGAAATGATTCTTTAATGCTCCGTGGTTCATACTGCCTATGCAGTTCTGAAAACACATTCTCAAAGAGTCGCTTAAGCCTTAATTTCCAGAGTAGGAATTATAACTTGCTGATTGGTCTAAATAACACGTTAACACAAGTGATTTCAAAAGATTATTACAAAAAGGCAAATTGTGGGTAGAGAACCTATCATTTCCGATTTCAAAAGCGGTTCCTACATGGAAGAATAAATTGCTTGTAAGTTTCTTGTGGTTACACTCTACAATTCTTTTTCTGTAGCACTTTATTTTCTGTGTCTATGCAGTAACTGCTTTTCAGAGCAACTGCTTTCAGGCTGCACCCCAGTTTTGCCCTGGCGACATGGGACAGCAGGGGCCCCACGAAGAGGTTTCCCAGGACTGCCTGGGGCCCCCTCACTCTGCCAGTCAAGCGCCGCACAGATGTGGGAAATAACGGCGCTGTGAGAGCTGGAGCTGGTCACCCGGTGAATGCCTTCTGCTCCTGGGCTCGCGGCTTTGACCAGGGAAGGGGCCAGGCTGTGCCCGACTACAGGCCCTCCCTGGTGTCGGCAGAGGGTCAGATGCCATCGCATGGTCAGCGGCCAGTTTGGAGACAGCGCTGATGGGGCCGGCCCCACGGGGGGGGGCCACGGGGTAGGGGGGGCACGGGCCAGAGCGGCCCCCGCCCCGCCCCATGTGCCCTTCCTGCCTGTCTGGGCAGCCCCTTGGGCAGCTTCTCCTCTCCACTGCCCGTCCCACTGCCCGTCCCTTTCGGCAGGCGAGCGCAGCAC